CACAATGAGCATTTCTCAGGCTGCCCCTTACCTTGACCTACAAGCGGCATTCACCACATCTGATCACCTCGTCCTGGCTTCATTTTCTTCACTTGGCTTCTAAGGCACCACGTAAGATACCCTTGATGTGGTGGTCACACCTTCTCACTCATCATGGCGACTACCTCCTCTTCTTCCAAAGCTCTTAATATTGCAGTGCCCCAGGGCTCATGCCATGGTCCTCTTTTCTTCTTTCATCTTCATTCTCTCTAAAGGTGATCTCAACCAGTTTCAAAGCCTTAAACAGCACCTAATACCTTGAAGACTCCCACATTTTTATTTCCAGTAATGATGTCTCTCAATTCCAGATTTGCATATCCAAGTGCCTGCCGTTTCTACTTGGATGCCTAACAGACATGCCTAACATTCAATCCTGTGATCAATACTGCAATTAGGATCTTTCCCATCAAACCTTCTCTACCTGCAATCTTTGCTACCTCAGTTCATGGCTTCTAGTTGTTCAGGCCAAAAAACTTGTCATTACTCTTAATTCTTCCCTTCCTGTCACTTGCCATATCTGCTCCATTGGAAAATCTTCCACCTTCAAAAGAGACAGGCAAAAAGCAAATGGAAGAAAAGATAACATGAGTGACAATAGGAACCAAGACCATGAGCATGATGTATGTGAAAGTCATCAAGAAACAGACTCCACTGGGACCAAAGGCCCCTATTTGGAAATAATAAATGTTTTCACAGGGAACAGAATGCATTCATGTCATGAAGATAAGGTACCAAAGACAGGCAAAAAAAAAAAGCCGATGTGGCAACTTCCTTACCATGGAAAATTCCCCATACCCCCCCTCTCTTCCTGCCTCCTAAAGAAAACTTATATGAGAGGTATACATACCACATTTTGGGAGGGAAAATAGAAAAAAAGACAATGGATCCTTAAGAGAACAATTTAAAATTTCTCTATCATTTTGGGCCCCCAAATAAACCTTCAGAAATTTATAGTCACATGGCTTTTACTTAGAAGTACCTTTTTCTTTCTTGGGACCCTGCGAAGTGCAAAGGCCCTCTCCATCACAACACTTACCTTAACCCCACCATCACCCATGGGCCACTTCGCTCTCTGATGTGTAGTTTTCCACGCTAGATTTTATCACATATTTGTATTTTCTCTTGGCGGATTCCTTGTGGACACTGTCATCTTCTTAGGCCTCCTGTGTGGTGCACGTCGAACACCAAAGACACCGACTGGACCAACTCCATCAGGTCAAAAGTTCTCCACATGGAAGAAACCTGGTAGCCCACACCAAGTGATTATCTTTATAACCAGGCCCTACAGCTGTTTCCAAAGCAAGAATCCAGCATCTTAAAGCTATTTTAATCTGTTATTTACTCTACCTTATTCTGGTAACCTTATTTATCAAATGTCAGGGCTTGAACTCTTTCATGGAAGTTTTCATCGGATACTTAACTGTGATTGATCCTCAAGTGTTAAATGTAAAGGTGGGTACAAAGAAATCTGTCATTTGAAGTAGTACGGTTCTAGAAATGTTGAAAGCAGATTGAATTCGTTGAATAATCTGGAAGGAATATTTAAAAGGCAGTTTCCAAGACTTCTACTGAGACAGCAGAAGTGGTGTGTTAAGACCCCAAACTCTGATATCAGAAAGACACATTTCAAGCCTAATGTGACTCTGGGCAAGTGACTAAGTCTGCTTCCAAACCTATGGAATAGGAGACAGATGTGACTATAGAAAGAACAACTGAGAGGAGCCTTTGTGCTGATGAAACTGTTCTGCATCTTGACTGTGTCAGTGTCAAGATCCTGGTTATAATATTGTATTACAGTTTTTCAAGATGTTGGGGAAAACTCTGAGTAAAGAGTACAGAGTATCTTTTCCTTTTCTTTTTTTTTTTTTTTTTTTTTGAGATGGTGTCTCATTATTTTGCCCAGGCTGGTCTCAAACTCCTGAGCTCAAGTGTTCCAATTGCCTCAGCTTCCTGAATAGCTGGGGCTACAGGCGTGTGGTTCTATAGCATTTCTTACAGAAATAGAAACTGACAGGTAGGACATAATTTTTAAAAATCAACTTTATTTTCTAAACCCAGGTAAGTTCTTGGAAATAACTAAAGCTCTTTCCAAATAGGACCAAATACTAAATATTCTCCATTTTGAAAGTTTTATTTCTTACAACTTACAATTGTGTGAACCTACAATTATGTCTACATAAAAAATTATAATTTGTATATGTTGGTTTAAATTTTACATTAATTTCAAAACTATCCTAGGCAATCACATATCTTCTCTAATTTTCTATGGGGGCAATAAACAAACACTCCAAATTACCGAATTTTAAATTTAGCAATGATATAACCAGAAGGTGGCGCTGTTACCACATGAATATACCACAGTAAGACCCTATTAAATGTATCAAAAAATACAAAGATTCAATCAATCAAAATTGTAAATGCTAACCTCAAATCAGCAATATTCTCAATGTGTGTCTTGAGGTTTAAAACATACTGTTTACATGAATCATTTAAAAAATAGACAACATACACAAATTCTATATGGACTAACCTTTCGAAACATAGATTGGTATTAAGCTGTGATATCTTTACATTTTTTATACAAATATTACTTGCCTTACCAACTGTTAACAGAGATTTTGATAAAGGTACAAACACCACTTACAGAAAATTCCTGAACTGCAACTAGCAGTGAAAGAATTGCTAAGAAAGGGATCTCCTTTTTGTTAAAGCAAAAATGTTTACAACTTTCCCTTCTTATTTTGGGTTTAGGATAAAAACATAAAGAATACTTTTCAAAGGAAAAAAAATAAGTTGCATCAGTTAATAATTACCAAGACAAAGATAGCTTTTATCCAATTCCATTTTATATGACATAGAAAGTGACGTTCCAAAACACAAGACACTTGCCTCAAGTCAGACATGGCAGAACTAGAGTTGAAGACAGGCCCCAGGATGCCTGGTCTAAGACAGCCATTATATTCAGACCAATGAGACACTAGGCAAAAAGAAACTTTTAATGCAAAAGGCAATACTTTTGCTTGAACCATGTACTGTTAGCCTAATTCTACTAGTCAAACTAATTTAGATCTTTTCAAAAATGGATAAAATGTGTCCAGGAGTAAGCTTTAAATAAAAATTATGTATCCATACAACACAGCCACTTATTTGGAGCAACATCAACAAGACCAAAGCAGCCGTGGACAAACACGATGGTAACCATCAGGTGTCCAAGACCCAATGGGAAAGAGAGAAACCATTTGGAATATCAGTCACTTTCAAGGAAGGAGGCTCCTGGACAAGAATGACTGAAATTGTTACCCAGGCTATTAGCATCTCCCGTGGCTGGTATGAACAAGAAAACATGGGTTACACATGCAACGGCACATTTTTTTTTTTTTTTTAAGACTAGTCAAGTGCAGTAGTGTGAAGGGGGGAAAAGAGTAGAACAAGGAGTTCATAGGAAATAATTCAAAGCCCTTCCTAAATAGAACCAAATAAATGTTCCCTTTTGAAGTGCTGAGCATGCTGCCACAAAGGGGTAACAAACATAAACATACCCATGATCCACTGTCTAAGGGAACTAGAGAGCTAACAGGCAAAGCGCAGACACAACCCCAAGATCCTTGCATTCTAGGGCAAATGTGTCCCATCAATTTGTAGGAGCAGCATGTTAGAACACATACACCAAGTACGTAAGCTGCTGTTTCCCAAGTCATTTGACTCAACAGAGATCTGAGGGGCTAAGATGAAGAAAGCATTTCACGCAAGAAATGGCCTTCAGAAAAAGAGACTGAGGAAAAACAAGAGACCAAGTCAACGTGTTTTGGAGAGGAGGTGTGGAATCCCATAGGTTATTAGGAAGCAACCTGGTATATTTGGTTAATTACTCTAGCTACACCCTGGGCATAGATCCTAGTGATGCTCCCAAGTTCAGTGAGAAGCCAACAGTTGCAGCCTCCTTGCTAACATGCCCCATGGGCCAGGCAAATCCTCCTCCTTTCGCGGGTCTCAATCTATCTGTTAGCATTGATGGTGGGGGCTTGGCCTAGCTGATCTTTAAGATGTCATTCAGCTTTTGAGGAAAAAGTAACAGATCAAGATGTTCACTTTGATACTTACCCTGCACAATGGCAGGAATAGGGTAATCCAGGAGAGCCCCAACAGGACATGAATAGGTGAGCGGAGATACTGGTTCAAAGTCATTCCTGGCTGAATTTCAGAGGACAACGTATGAACACACCCGGGAAAAGCAGCAGGATCTGACAAGGGTTTAGACACCACAAGCAAAAGAGGGTATCTCAAATCTTGAAGGCAAGTTGCTTTAAGGAAAGAATATTCCAGAATTTCAAAAGTACAATTTATGTAACAAAGCAAACAGGGATACACTTTTCTCTAACGTGTGAAGTTCACACATTGTACATAAACGCCTTGTCCTCACTTACTGGAGAAGTACTGAAGCTTTACCTGTGCACCAAGCACTGCACTAGGCCCTGTATGTGGTGTTCACTGCAACAGACATGGGACATTTATTACCAACAGGGAACGTTTCCAAGGAGCAGCCTCTAACACTTGACATAGTTTGAGTGCATCTCAACTGCCCACCCAGAGATCAAGATGCTCTCTGCTTTCAGTCTTATATCAGGCCATCTAAATAATCATGGAGCCCTGTAAGTAGCCCAGATGATCCACACTATGCTCGGAAGCTAACATTGTAATTTTGCTTTTGAGAACATGTTTTTTAATTAAGAAAAATGAGCAAGTTCATTCCCCTATCAAAAAAATGTTTCCTTCTATGATTTCACATGAAGTGATGCCTTAAGAATTCAGTTCTGATGTTTCTTATTCTTGCAAAGATTACCAAATAATTACTCTGTCTTTAAATATGTAAATTGAAGTCAATCAACCAAACACATCCCTAATCATTTTATTTACTTGTTCACACAAGAGCTGAATGAAACAAAATGAGAAATAAGTCAGAATAAACTCTGTGCAGTTTATTCTCAAGTCATTATACAGTGTTCAACCAGTTTGACATATAAAGATAACAGACTTTAACAGTAAATGTTGGGAGGCACACATATATTCCCATTCTGAAAGAAGACATGTTATATATACAGAAAAAAATGCAGCAAATATTAAGGTATTCAAAGTAATTTTTTTGAACTCAGATGTAACATATTTACCAGAAAAGTGTGTAAGTTTTAAAATAATTAAATAATTTCCACTTATAAAAGAATTGAGATAAATACTAGGAGACCCTGACAATCACAAGAACATTTTCCTATGCTACTGAACAAGGACAGTTCTATTTAAAAATGTCCCAAAATAGAGCTAATATTTTACCACCATGAAATATATCAAATTGCAAATACCAAAATATGCTAAAATGAACATGCAGTGTGGAAGCTGTACCAAAATTAAACAGCATTAGGTTCTTAAATATTGCAAAGTGTCTATATCAGATTTCTCGGGTGTGTTTATGAAAAAGAAACTTCCAAAAAAGCCATTATAGTGAATATATCAGCAGAAGAAGTGATAATTAAAAATCTCTTTATCACTTTCAAATGTAGCTGCAAAAGAGAAAAAAATCTAACTTTAAAAAAATATTAGCTTATGAATAAAAAAATTGAGTGGTATACTCTTTATGCATACAGATTTTTAAACTGATACTATATAATTCTAATAGATCTTAACCTCTGGACCCCACTGCTGTAGTAGGAAATTTTTCTGTTTCAGACAAGAAGTCATCTTAGAAAATGAAAAAGAGAAATTTTCAGTGATATGTACGAATTCAAAACAAAACAGTACAGTAAAATGGCAAAACATAAAAAATAGCAGCATATGAAACTCAAGACTGTTTTTTTAAAGCAAATGTTTAAGATGGAACCACAAAAACGGTACTTACGGGTCAGGCGTGGTGGCTCACACCTGTAATCCCAGCACTTTGGGAGGCTGAGACAGGTGGATCACCTGAGGTCAGGAGTTCAAGACCAGCCTGGCCAACATGGTGAAAGTCCATCTTTACTAAAATACAAAAGTTAGCCAGGTGTGGTGGCATGCGCCTGTAATCCTAGCTACTGAGGAAGCTGAGGCAGGAGAACTGCTTGAAGCCAGGAGGCAGAGGTTGTAGTGAGCTGAGATCACGCCACTGCACTCCAGCCTGGGCAAAAGAGCGAGATGCTGTCTCCAAAAAAAAAAAACAGTATTTATTCAAACTGGTCTATAATTCAACACCAGAAATGAAGAATTCTTTAGAGAGTGCTTCTATCTATATGTCAATGATTAAATGTATTCCCAAGTTTGTTTTCTTTAAAACATATATATTGCACAGGTAGTAGAATACCAGCATTCTGGTATCTCTAACACAAAATGCTATCTTATTTAACACATTAAACTATTCTACTGAAAATCAATTTTATGTCAATGTTTAAAACCAGTCATGTAGGAGGACTTTTTAGCATATGAATCTCAAAACATTCCTAAACAAGATGAAAAAACACAGGCACTTGAATCTAGGTTATTAGTGACAAAAAGGAGAGGTCACAACAATTTCATGACTAAGGGCAGTTACGTCTTTACATATAAACTTGAGGTCTTTCACCGATCCAAATATAGAAATAAAAACTATTTACAAAACTTTTGTAAGAAAATCAGATCTCCCAAAAATTTCCTACCAATTAATGTTTGCTGAATAAAGCACTGACTGCTCCAAGGCCTGATTAAGCTTTTTCAAACAAACATCTAGGACAAAGTTGTCTGAATTCTAGTTTCTCCTTTTCTCTTCCCCAGTATAACCTGCAACCCTTACTGTTGGTCGAATAATATCCTCTATGCAAAATTTGCAACTCGCCTCAAGATTCAGGGCATCAAAAATGGTTGTAATTTCAACACAGTCCACATTGTAGTATAAATTTTACAGCACCACAGACATGATGAGTTTAGGTATCTTGGTCTGGCAATATTTCATTTGGTAATAGTGACCAACAAGGATGTGTAAATACTGAACATTTAATCAGACGTCATAGTAGCATTTTTTTAAATGACCAAAGTAATTAATCAGCATTTTTAATGTTTTAAGTTGTTAAACATTTAAACTGTCAAAATCACTAGGAAAAAATATTACACACACATTGTTACCCACCCAAATGAGAACACACAATGTTTCAGACAGATGACAGTGAGATATTTTGGATTTTTCCTTATTCTTTCTTTTTAAAGAAATTATATTTAGTTTGGCCACTCCCTAGATTCTTGGTTCACCAGCTTATAAAGAATACACCTAAGAGGCAGCATAATATCTGCACTAAAAACCATTTCCCCCTTTATCATCTTTGGCTAGAAGCCTCACGAAAGGAAACTGAGGCAGAGGCAGACAGGCTCCATGCACGTCTGCCTCACACGTCACTGACCGGGAGGCTCGCGTCATCCAAGTCTACTAGGTCACCATCTTTTTCCTGAGGGCCATTTTTACTTTGAGGTTTTAACAGAGCTTGTTCAGTCACTTTGGAAGCTGGTTCTCTTGGAGAGACAGTCTGGACCTTGAAGTTCCCTGGCTTGACCTTGGCAAGAGATTCGTAAAATCCTCGCTTCTCCATGGTAAAGCTTGAGACCAAAGAGTTGCTGCGAGAGGCTGTGGAATGTGAGGTGGTGGCGGCTGCGGTGGCGGGACGGAAAGCGTGTTTGGATTCTGAAGGACCGGGGGAATGCTCCTGCGAAAAGAAGTGACAGTCAGACACAGTCTATCACTAATGACCAGGTTAGTCACTCAGTGTGAGACTTGATCCTCTGAAAAACAAACAACACACACACACACACACACACACAAAGCACAAGCAGAGGCCATGCAGCATAATGTGCAAGTTCTTTCCCAAAGCAATGCATTTTTAGAGGTGAGTTTAAAGCGATGATAGCCAAAAACCATTTCCACTAGGAAACCAGCTCCGTCACCAAAGCCGAATTTGGCAGCTTCTGACACTTTGAAGATTCAGCCAACCTAAACTGAAATACAGTGTTCCAGCTGCAACCGAACTGTGTTTAAAAGAGAACCTCCCAGATGTATCATTTTATTTAAGAGCATATTCTCAGTCAACACTAGGAATTATCCCACATAATTTAGAAAGCAAATATAGACTATGACAACGAAAGGCCATATTTCTTTAATAAGCATGAATCAACATCTTTCAAACATTATTTTGCTGATAAAACTTAAGATTTTCCTTCCCTGAATTTCATTGCAACCAATAATAGCACAGTCTTTTCATATTTTATTTAATTTTACTTCTGAATAGGTCATATATTCATATGGCTTAATATTTTAAAGGTAGCAAAGGGTACACATTTAATCCTATTTTAAACTGTGGTGAAATAATTATCAGTTGTAAATGTTAATTTCAATATGCCTCTAACTAGATCAAATCTGAAGATATCCTTAAATATGGCCATTCTAAATACACTGCTATATACTAGCATTTTATATTCCTTTATACTAGTGGCTTTGAAAACAAAGTGCTACAAATTACCAAAACACTATAAAGTCCTATTAGATGGCTAAATTTCAGAGATTTTTAAATGCCATGCAAACTATAGTAATGTACAGTTTATCCAATGCATATGCATGCATTAGTTTGCATATATTATTAGAACAATGGTGCATTTCACAAGTGTTATAGTATTTTAAAAATCTTAAAGTACATAAAGAAATTGAAACTCTTGCAGCAGTTCAGTATATTAATTTTTATACGTTAATGTCTCTTTCTGTTAGTAAAGTTGTATGTTTTAATTTTTTCTTTTAATATATATATCCAATCTGATGACTACAGTGAAACAGTTTGCGTTAGTATTGACAAAATCAGTTACAATAACTGCAAAAGGCAGTTTGGTTAACTCAACTTTCTATGATCAGTTGTAAGTAGTGAGTAAGTCTGGGCCCTCCACTAAGAAGGCACGTTTGCGTGAGAGCCCACATACGTGCTGCATTCACCAGTTCTTGATGTATACCTCTGTATACAAGGGTTCGACAGCCTTCTGGCCTGCCGCATCTGGAACACAGTGCAAAGCTAAGATTAGAGTTAACCTATACTGGGTAGAGGGAGGAAAAGAGAAAATTCTGCTGACAGTCATAGCTAGATAGTCTAATTTGCCCCCACCACAAAGCACAAAACACAAACATCCTTCTGCAACTTTTCCTCTTCCCAACAGACATTGTTTTTGCAGAGAGTCTCATACTTGACTGCTGAAAAAGTCACATAAAATACAGGCAGTTACAAAATGAACATCTATGAAAATGACTTATTGGATATTTCAAAAAGGATATAAAGAGAATGACTTAACAATTAAGAAATCAGAAACATTAATTTCTATTTATCTGTAGTTACTACTACCAGAAAATAAAAGGCAGTGTTATAATAGTATCAGAAAAAAATATTAAAAGTGTAAGTATCTAGCATATATATCATACTAAATCTACATAATAAAGGCTATCATGCTACATACGAGACTATTTTCTGCAGATGGCAGTGCTACATTTTAAGATACTTTGAATTTTCAGATCTGAGATCACTGGCCATTCCAAAGCTAAATCTAATTCTTTTGTACTTGAACATAATAAAAATCTTTTTTAAAAATATTTCTGAGTAGAACGTGTATTTGTATTTCAATTTTATTATCATACTACCACAGAGATAGTTATGGTAGTTTTCAGAAGCAGACTTCTCAGGTAGGTTTCCAAATGAGCATGAAAACATGAACTGGAAACACTGGGAGCACTGAACTGCATTTAAGGTCCCAGCTGCTATGGCATGGTGAAGCCAAAGGTAAAAAACAAAACAAAAAAACCTCAACTGAAATCAGAGGAAGTGAAGTGGAAACCAAGATGTTCACAAAACTGCGTAATGCTACAACTAAAAGTCTTAATGATCAGGCCATACACCACACTAAGCATCTGTCAAATTATGCCAAACCTAGAGCTAAGACAAAGCAAGGAAATGTTCATTCTTTAGTTGCCCTGCTTGTGAATTTAACACAATACAATTCACAGAAAGTTATGTATATGTAACACTACAAGGAAGCATTAAATTAGAAATGCATTATTTTTTGGAAGTCCAATTGGTATAAAAGTCAACATGCAAATAAATCTCAATAAAGAAAGAAACCAGATGGACTGGGAGGAAGGAAAACAATTCAACAGGATGGGGGGACCCAAGGGAGTATCACCCCAGAGAGCAGGAAACCTACAGAAGACGCAGATCTGCCGGGCCCCCGCTGTGCTACGATGGCGCCAGAGACTGCTTTAATCCAGCTGTGCATCTCTTCAGGGCTATCAGCCTAAAGGAAAACAGAACTCATTCAGTCAACTTTTCCTCAAAATCACCTTCTACTTCTATAAAGCCAATGTATTTACTTTGATAATTTAAATACTATTGTCAACAAAATCACTCTAACACAATTGTTTTCAAAAAAACTGAGAAATTGTTTTTTAAAAACAGGTTTTGCTAGGTCTTACTTCAGAGACATAAATGGAGCACTTCAATGTCAAGATCAGACCCATCAAAAGGCGTCAATGAATATCTCCAGAGAGAAACGAGAGGCAGAAGTCAGAGAAAACCCTTCCTATTTTACTCTACCACTAGACCACCTGAATCGAACGCAAGATTTATGCAGTTGCATAATTTTTTAAAATTCTGACATTATTTTACATATTATTTTTCTGGAAATAATTTCTAGTAGTACCCTAAATCCTACAACAAGTATTGACAGATAAGTCTGGCTTTCAATATGAATTTTAAATCTTACTACGAAATTAAATCCAATTAAATAAGGCCCCAAGAGGAGTTTACAGAGATACTGCCTCTTGCTTCTATATTCTAAAATATTATACTTCTAGAACCTAGAAATATTAAAAAATTTACAATACAAGATATTTTTGAATAAGTAATATTAACAAAAACTTAAAAACAGGCAAAGGTACAGTATATTTCATTCAGTACTAATGGAAATATAATTCTAGAAATTAATTTGACAAAATAGAAAGGGTCACACTCTGATACTCTCAATTAGAAACTTACCCTAAATAAATCAGCCAAAGTAATGCACAAAGATGTATTTCATCACATCATTTATTGCAGTAAATGTATAAAAACTGTGCATAAAAACGTTCAGCAACATAGTAAACAGGAACAATTTACTAGTGGAACATCAATACAATGGAGGATGGTGCAGTTCTAAAAGGTCTTCAGATAATTTTTAATGACATGGAAAAAAAACAATATAGGAAACAAACAGAATATAACACTATATTTAGTATGACCCCACCTATTATAAAAATATATACCTGAAGAAAGGGAGCAAAAACATAAGAATGGTTGCCTCAATGTGGAATTGACTGTTTTATAAACCACATCTTTCTATATTTTCATTGTTTTCTGGAATAAGCATATTTAACTTTAATAAAACAAAAACAAATCATCTTTTTTTTTTTTTTTTTTTTTTTGAGACAGGGTCTCACCCTGTCACCCAGACTGGAGTGCAGTAACACGAGCTCAGCTCACACCAACCTCTGCCTCCTGGGTTCAAATGATTCTAGCGCCTCAGCCTCCCAAGTAGCTGGGCTTACAGGCCTGCATCACCACACCTGGCTAATTTTTGTATTTTTAGTAGAGATGAGTTTTTTCCATGTTGCCCAGGTTGGTCTTGAAGAACTCCTGGACTCAAGTGATGTGCCTGCCTTGACCTCCCAAAATGCAGGGATTACAGGCGTCAGCTACCACACCAGCCCAAATCTTTAAAAAAACTTTCTTTTTAAATAATTCAATGAGATATGCAAAAAGTACAATTTAAACTTAAATACAGGATGCCAACTATCAGATCTACTCTCTACTTTTACTTTGGGTATTTTCTTATAAGGTTACCAAAAAATGATATAACAGAAAAATCAAAATTCCAAAATATGTGCAAAAGTAATCTGACTTGAAGGTACACACTTAACATCTAAATTAAAAGCATTTCCCTTTCTCCAAATACTTAGTTCTAGTTCACTATTCATAAGAAAGAATATTCCCACTTCCTGAACATATAACTCTACCAATAACTCTATATATACCATCCTTCTATTAAGCTGGTGAATTACAGTCGTCATATTTTTTAAACCTCAAGAGCAACAAGCTTATTTATGTTTATTTCACCTCTAAAATTATTAATTGCTTGTTAGGAGGATCTACAATTGCCAAATAAGTATCTTACCTGCACGTAGAAAGTTCGAGACGTTGTTACAATTTCAAAGAGGTTGTCCCTCATCATTATGTCACTGTATGAAAAAAAAATCCAATTATACTTAAATAACAGTTGTTTGACAATTTCTCTGTTTACCCAGTACCCAGCATGTGTCAATAAATAAATATGAGGTAAAGCACTGATTTGACAAACCCAAATTACTTTTCCCCATTTATTTTCATATAAGATTTTACATATTTTATGTAGTTTTGCTTTTAGAAAAAGTTCATAATGCAACTTTAAAGTTCAGTTTGATGAAACACTGTCACATTTTCTTGTGTTGTATGCTCTACTCTGCATCTTTTAAACACTAAAATTAATACACTAATTTGTCAAATCTGATGGCCAAACCATAAGCTGTTTACATTAAATTTCTTCCTTTCCATTAATAAGCCGTTTGTGCATTTTTAGATTTCAAAGAAACAAAGGATTGTTTCCTAGTTTTTAGTTTTCAAATGAACAAAATATTTCAATCTGAGGGTTTTGAAAATTCTAACATATCTCAACTATAAAGAATTAAATATAATCTTTAACCTGAGGGTTTTGAAAATTCTAGCATATCCCAGCTATAAAAAGTTAAAACATAACTACAATTTATATGGAAAAATGTAATCTGTAAGTATATTACTCAAACTAAGGCACTGTTCTGTGTTCATACAGGCATCAAGTCAGAGCTGTTCCTTACCTTTGCTTACATTCCTGGACTTTATGAACCTCTTTAAGTGGAATAACACGAAGAGGTTCCTTTTCCTGGCAAAAAAAAAAAAAAGGCGGATACATGATGTTCATTCTTAAAATCCTTCCAAAGGTTAGCTGTCTTATTTGAAGACCCATGTGAAAATCATACTTCTTTTCTGAAGCACATCTCAGAAATAAATCTACCTTCTTAAGCCATCCAGCATCTGAACAGCTCAAACACTATAGTCTCATATACACTGTTGTTTGAAGCAAAAAAAAACTGCATATGACACTTATTTATGTTATTTCTGGCCTTAAAGACAGCATAGCTTATTAAAAGCTATTAGCCATCAGACTGTCCCCAATGGACGCATGTGCCAGTATGCGCAGCACCTTCTTTTCTGGAATGTCACTTTGATATACAAGTCAGCAGAGCAAGTGCACATCCAGCTTTCACTTAATTTTGCCATTTTACAAATATCACTTCTATAAATACACACACACACACACACACACAATTGTATGTTTACTAAGTGCTGAGACATCTGCTAGGTTTTAAATGTTTTATCTCACACTTTCCACAACCCTACAACATATGTACTATTTATTCATGTGCTGAAACTGCAGATTAGACATGTTAAATATCGCAGCCAAGGTTACAAAGTAGATATAAGATACAAATATAAAACTGGCTCCTAATAGCATATTTCTAGTATACATTCCACAAAATATAATATACATATTTCATTCACTATGCAGCATGAAAATTAAGATATATCATTACTTTATGCAGCACCAAAGATAAAACTAAACCATGATGGAGTACTTTTTTTATTTGAGACACAGAGTTTCACTCTTGTTGCCCAGGCTGGAGTGCAATGGCGTGATCTCAGCTCACTGCAACCTCCCCCTCAGGGTTCAAGTGAATTCTCCCGCCTCAGCCTCCAGAGTACCTGGGATTATAGGTGCCCACCACCATGCTCAGCTAATTTTTGTATTTTTAGTAGAGAAAGGGTTTCGCCATGTTGGCCAGGCTGGTCTTAAACTCATGATCTCTGGTGATCCGCCCACCGTGGCCTCCCAAAGTGCTGGAATTACAGGCGTGAGCCACTGCACCCAGCCTGGAGTGCTTTAAAAAATAAAAAAATAAAAATCACAGATCTTTTTTAAAAAGTTTCACAAAATAGTTTAATTTTCAAATAACTTCACACTATAAAAGACTTAGAAAAATGGCACAAATAATATCTATATATCCTACACCGTGTTTTCTGAACTGTTAATATTTTACATTTGCTTTATCACTATGTTTATATATGTGTGTGTGTGAGTACATAGAGATTCCTGAAATGCCTGAAGGTAAGTTGCAAATACGATGTACCTTTACTACTAAAATACTTCAGTGTGTATTTCCTAAAACATGGATGTGCTCTTGCCTAACCACAGTGCAATTATGAAAACTGGAAACTCAACACTGATGCAATACTATAATCTACAGACCATCTTCAGCTTTCACTAACTGCCCTACTCATACTCTTTACAGCACAAGGACAACTATTTTCTGATCCAGAGTTTAATTAATCCAGGGTCATATCTTGTATGTAGCTGTCATGTCTCCTGTAACTGTGGTACAGTTCTTCAACAGTTTTTCAGAGTTTTAAAAAGACCAGGCCAGTTATTTTTGTAGAACACCTCCCAGTTTGGGTTTGTCTGATATTTGCTGAAATTCAGGTTATACATTTTTGACAGGAAGCCATAGGCATGACACTGTTCTTCTCAGTGGACCACTATTAGGAGGTACACACCTGATGGTGGCTTGTCCTGTCACCGGTGTGTTAACTCTGATCTCTCGCTTAAGGTCATATTTGCCAGTAACTGTAAAATTATTTTTTCCCTTTGTCATTGTTAAGTATCTTGTGAGGAGATACCTGGAACCGATGTAATACCGGGATTCCCATCATAATTTTACCACTAGTTTTATCAAACACTGAAGCCTCTTGCCTGAAACCATTACTAGTGGCTGCCAAATGGTGATTTATTCTAACCCCATCAATCCATCTACATGTATTAAGACAGAATTTTATTCTAAGGAAATTTTTTCCTTCTCCATTCATTTATTCATGACTCATCTTATTCTATGTAATAGAATAGTAATGGATAGTATAATCCATTACTATCATTATTTATTTTGTTGTTTAAATTGTCTGCATTTTGGTCAGGCCCTTCGAGGTAATTTCTGTGTCCTTTTGACATGTTCCATTCATTCTCTGAGGCACTTCCTTATTTTCTGGTACAACTTCATTTTCTGACCTCAGGTGGTACTTTATCTGCCCCAACTCTGAAATCAGTTATATCACCAAGGGTTCCTGATTCCTTTTGTTTACAGAATGGCATTTACAGTTGCCTTTGGACAGGATGGGTAGGGATTTGCCAATCTCTTCACTCAGCCACAACCTTCTCATGATAGATGAGAATATTTCAGTGCAGTTTTAATTATCAGTGATGTCAATTTTTAAAATATTTAAGACCTATTTTAATTTTTTAAAATTGAATATTCATGTCTTTTGTTCATTTGCCCACTAATTTCCCATCCATTTTCTTTTTTAAATTTTGAAACAATCACGAATTTATACAAGGATTGAAAATACAGCACAAAGAACTGATTTTCCTGAACCACTTCAGAGTGAGTTACTGACCTGTCCCACACTACCCCTGAATACTTCTCCTATAAAGACATCTCTTACATAATCACAACATAATCATCAGAATCAGAAAACTATGCCCAAAATATTTTTTATTAGAGCAAAAGAATTCCGTTCAGAAGCACGAACACCATCTGCTTATCAAATATTTTCTTTCCCTCAGTCTGGAACAGCTCCTCATTATTTCCTTGACTTGCATAATCTTGACTCTATTGAAGAGTGCAAGGTATTATTTTGGAGAATGACTCTCATTTGGGTATGCCTCATGAGATTCAGAGTATTCACCTTGGGCAGGAGAATCACCAGGGTGATGTTGTCTTCTTAATGCTACCCTGTCAGGTGGTAAGTGACTTCAGTTTATCTCATTAACAATGACATTCATTTTAATCATCTGACCAACCTGAGTAAAGTCGTATCTGCCAGGTTTCCTGGCTGTAATGTTATAATGAATCTCTATGTACTCACACACACACACATATAAACATAGTGATAAAGCAAATGTAAAATATTATCCCCTTGTACAATACTTAATACCTATTTTAGTAGATAGGTACTTTGAAACTATGTAAATATCTCATTCCTCATGATACATATAGATATACATCCATTCACCAAAAACTACAGTTTCTCTGACAAGAAACTTGGCTTCTATTATCCTTAATGTATTTCCTTATTTTATCAATCAGTGTGTATGAGGCCATTCTCCCGTCTCTGCCACACCCCCACCTTCCCTTCCGCATGTGGATGCCCTTCTCTCCCTACTCCACGTGGCGCTAACCCCCTAAGAAGACAGCCTCCTTATCCTGCGTGGGCTCTGACAGCCACACAAGGCTACACTGGTTCCTCTTGGATGCCTATGTTGCTTTGCCTCACCTAATAAAATGGGGTCTGAATTGTTTGGGATTGACGGAAGGAAAAGAGGGCAAAGACGATGAGGAAAAATCCTCTCATTTCTTAAGATTCTTTGTAAGTTTTATCTCTAATATATGTTGCAAATATGTTCACCAGTTTTTCAGTTGTGCACTTCAGTCTTTTATACTTATTTTTAAAACTTTTAAATGATCTTTTAGAGATACACACTGAGATATATCCAGATGAAATGGGAGATATCTAGATTTGCCTCAAAATATGAAGCAGGAAGTGGCTGGTAGAACAGAAACAAGACGAGCTGAGCCATGTGTTAACAATTATGACATCTAGGTGATGGGTACATGCAGGTTCCATATATTATTTCTGTCTACTAAAAGTGTATGTTTACACTTTTCCATGATGAAAAGGTTTTATAAATGAGCCCATTTATACTTTAAACATGTTTGTCATATATCATTCTTGAGCATATATAAAAAAGAAAAATATAAACAAGATATACTGGTCACAATTTTTGTTTTTTGACATGGAGTTTCATTCTTGTTATCCAGCTCGGAGTGCAATGGCACAATCTTGGCTCACTGTAACCTCCGCCTCCTGGGTTCTAGAGATTCTCCTGCCTGTCTCCTGAGCAGCTGGGTTACAGGCATGTGCCACCATGCACAGCTGATTTTTGTATTTTTAGTAGAGATGGGGTTTCTCCATGTTGGTCAGGCTGGCCTCAAACTCCTGACTTCAGGTGATCCGCCCACTTCAGCCTCCCAAAGTGCTGGGATTATAGGCGAGAGCCACCGCCCTGGGCCTGGTTATAGTTTTTTAAGATTTCACATCCAGATTCCAGATCTTCCAATCATTTTTTGACTTGGAGCCACCAATGTCCAAGTTTTTCACTCCACGCCATTCTTTACGCCAAAAAGTGTTGGTGATGCAGTATTTAAGAATGTTTCAGGATATCCCTGAGATTTTCTCTGAAGCTGCCAGCACTGTTTTCTGCACATGCTGATACTGGTGTCTTCTGGATTTTACCCAAAGGATAGTATGTGCAGCCTGGCTGCCCCTCACCGTTAGCAACTCTAAGAAATACCCCTAAAATTTCAGAAATGTTAAAACTGGGGGAGGGGAAGCTGAGACAAAAACTACTACAGAAATATTTACTAAGCTTTGAAGACCTGTACACTGGGCATTATTCTGTGGAATTTAAGAAAAAGAACAAAGAACTACCACAGGAGATAGATTAACTATACTCTGTAAAATTAGGAAAACATAAGTATAGTTATAATTACTGGTCTTTAAAGGTTTTCAGCTTTATCTGCAATTTCCAAATACTGAAAATATTCCTAAATATTAAAACTACTGTTGATGATGGGGGCACATGACAATTTCCCCACCAAAACTCAACTCCTGGAGGCCAAAGAACTTTACTAATTATTCTCCTTCATTTCCAGTTCCCTGAACAGTGCGCCAGATTCATGGAGAGCTCAATGAATGTCTGTTGCATGAATGACTCTTCCCAGAAGTATTGGCATTAAATAAAATCAATGAGTCAACCTGCTGACCAAGCACAACTGTAGTCTTCTGAGACAACAAGGCAGGTACTTTCTAAACCAAGTAACTACCACTTCCAGTTGAAGCTCTTAAGCTTTGAGAAAGCCACAAGCTAAAATGCCTCTTCTTGCTGTGCTATGCCATTTTATATTCATTCAAAGACACTTACTGATTGTCTACCAAATGCCAGGCCCTGTGATCATAAAAGACTACAAGAGTCTTTACCCTCAAGAAGCTCATTTAATTTAGTAGCAAAGACAAGTATGCACGTGACTGCAAAACCTGAGAAGAGTATTATGATAGAGGTATGCATAGGGTACCACAGGACATACAAAGAGAAGACACTTAACCCAGTCTAAAAGCTTACCTGAAGGAGCTGACTGCTGAGGTCAGTCTTAAACTATTCCCTTCCTATACACTAGTGCTCTGCTGGCCAATACAGTGGCCATTATGTATAATGATGTAAATTTAAATTAATTAAAATGAAATAAAGTCAGTTTCTCAGTACACTAGCCACATTTCCAGCACTCAACAGCTACATGTAGGTAGTGCCATTGGAAAATACATATACGAAACATTTCCATTTGTGCAGAAAGTTCTAATGAACAATGCTGTTCTGGTGACTTCATTCAAATAAAGTACAAAGTTCCCTTCTCAAAGATCCGATACAAAAAGAAGAGGTAGGATAGACATTTATAGTACAGAAGTGCATTCAATTTATCCAATAAGCGATTTCAGGACTCAGGTCACCCAACAATATTTTAAATAAGGATGCTACTCACACAAGGCAAAGAGGGAATTTCAATCTCTGATCCTACCTTCAGGGAGAACAAAAACATTTTATGTGAAGTGACTAATGAGTCAATCTGAACTAGGTAAAGAAAATGTTAAGAGAAGACAGAAATACAGAGGCTTAAATGTTGACTTTACAGACAGAATTCTTTACACCAGCTCCTCTGATGCCCCTTTAGAGAAAATTTATAGACTAGGGGATTCTGAGATCTCCAGATCTTTCAAGGTCGAATGCTGCTTTGAAGATAGGATCTTTTTACTTAACCACAAATTTAAGAAAAATATCATTAACCAAAAGCATCACAACCAAATAAACTGTAAGTATCTCTAAAAACTAGTTATTCTAAAACTAGAGAACAGTACCAGAAATTATATATAATCACTACAATGCAACACTTTTCAAACATTTTTATGGCAACATTTATAATGTAACAACATACCAGCTCAGATTTGAAGTAGCCTATTGTGTTTTCATCCAACTGAAAATATCTTCTCTTCCAGTTTTTCATCTACCAGAGATGAACACAGACATAAGACTTCTCTGTTTCTAAGAATGTCAAATGTTAGTCACCATTTAATTACCCTGATACGAACCCACAATCAGACATGCCAAGCACCGAAATATCTCATTACCTCCCTGAGAGATGCGATAAATTAAATCTCATCCCTCTCTAGCTACCCAGGCTTTGAATTCCTAATTCAATTTTTGGTGCCTGGCTTTCATCTTTTATTGTATGATTTTATGGTATTATTTCATTTATTTGATGCTGAAACAGTTTTTATATTTTAAAGCACTTCCCCTTCCTCCTACTCCCTGCCTCCTTCTGCCCCAAGTAAAGAGCAAACACAGGAAATGTTATTAAACCACATTAAGTTTCTCTATCTGTAAAAATGCACGAATTCTTCCACAAGTACTTTTTAGTAAAGCAGTAAATATTTAATAAAGTAAACCTATTTTGTACAAATATTTTTTGTCAATAAAATACCGTTTTTGCAAAAGCACTTAAGGAAACAAAAAGGAACCATCAGGCTGTCTCTGTACATAAAACAGAGAGCATCACAGCCTGATGAGAATACTGACTCTACCTGCAGACATTCTACAGTAAGAAACCCCTGCCCTCACCGCCATTTTCCTCAGCCTAAAGCAGGTCAAACGGGGTCAAAGAACATTCCTCTGGCTGCCCTAAAAAAATTAGAGTTTCCAAAAACTGATGAGAAGTCAAACAGAACAACCAAAATAATTTAAAGTATTTATTTACTCGCAGACTTTTAAAAAACATTTTCAAACTTTAAAGTTTATTATCTTAGGAAATTCTAAAGATCTAGTTCACACAAAAAGAATGGCTTAGACAGCAAGGTATGTTGCAACCTCAGAAATACTGGTAAATTTACTTGCTCTTACAAAAAAATTCATCATGGAACTAATTATGTGGGAATACCTGGGCTAACCCATAACAGCTTTTACCAAGTACCAGGTGCTATGCAAAGGGAAACACACCTCTCTTATTTACATCTCTTAAAAAGCAAAACTCTAGATGGTAGGTTTTATATGATATTCCTTAAAACCGAAACTGAGGGCCTCAGAGGTTAAGTAAGTAGCCCAAGGTCAGAGAGCTTACCACTGGGGCCAGCCCAGTGCCTAATCAAGGAAGGGACCCTACCATCCCCGACTCCTTCTCCAGCCCCTGGCCTGCCATCTCCCCACTACAGCTCTTTTTCCCTGACCCACTCCTGAGGATGAGTGGAGATCAACAGAAAAACTTTCTAGAACATTAAGCTGTTAGAAAAGCTCATTTAAACTGAAAGTCAATGGTAATAGGCATTAACTTTCTTGGTCCCCTGCAAACCAAGCAAATAATAGCATTGAGTTTTAAGCACAGAATAACCCCTATTTTATCTCGTGACTCTCCTCAGCATGCTGGTCTCTCACTTTGGGTCTTTCATAAAATAAAGCAAACAATTTGCCTGTTAATTTGAGTCTGCTAGAACAGAATCCCTTTTTCATTGTTTCATATATTTTGTTCGGCTACTCACCACAGCTCCTTGCTTGACACAATATCCAGCTTTGATAACTGCACTATCCAGAGGTGGTTTAGGAGCAAAGTAAGGGAGATGGCTTTGTGACCGTTTCAGATGATTTCTGTCAATACTTTCACCACATTCATTTACTTCTTCTTTCTAAAACGAAGCAAAATGAATAAATAATTTTCTTGCTTGTTTAGTTTCAAAGCATTCTTTTATTTCATGTTATCCCAGTGGAAAATCTTAAAATTCATCTTAGATTAGTTAGAAATAGATTTCTGAAGGGTTTTCTAATTAATCTGAGATACTTAATCACAATTTTCCTGTCACTGGTTAAAGCACAAATTTCCATTCCTCTTCTGCACCAGTCCTGCCACCAGCGCTCTTTTTGGGAGAAAGGGTTAACTTTTTATTTTGAAATAATTATACAGATTCACCAGAAGCTGCCCCAAAAAAGTACAACAGGTCCTATGCAGCCTTTCACAAGTTTCCCCTCAGAGGGGAAACTCCATAACATCAAAAACAAGAAACTGACATTAGTACAACCCACAAACTTTATCCAAAGTTGACCAGTCTGACATACATTCATTTGTCTATGTGTCTACACAGTTCTATGCAGTTTTATCACATATGTAGATCTGTGTAACTACCACTACATTTCAGACTCAGGACCGGTCATCACCCCAAGGCTCCCTTGTGCAGCTTTACAGCTCCTGCCCCCAAATCCCTTGGCAACCTGTTCTCCAAGACTGTAACTTTGACATTTTTTAAACATAATGTAAATGGAAGCATACGGGAAGTTATCTTTTGAGATTATCTTTTTCCACTCAGCATAATTCTCTAGAGATTCGTCCAGGCTGTTCCATCTATCTAAAGTTCATTCCTTGCTATTGCTGTATTCCATGGAATGGATGGATGACCAACTTCTTAACTGTTCACCCATTAAAGGACATTTGAGTTGTTTCCCGCTTTTAGCTATTAGGAAAAAAACTGCTATCAACATTCATGCCTAAGTTTGTGTGTGAACATCATTTTCCCTTTCTCTACGATAAACACCTAGGCCTGCAAATGTTGGGTTGTATAGTAATCACAAGCTTACTTTTATTTAAGAAAAGAAAGAAAAAACCTCCAAAGTGTTTTTCTGAGTGGCTATACTTTTTCATTCCCACCAGCAACACCTGAGAGATCATGTTTCTCCTCATCCCTGGCAGCACTGTGTTATCATTAACTTTTATTTTAGCCATTCTGACAGGTGTCCAGCAACATCTCATCATGCTCTTAATTTGTATTCCCTACTAGCTAATGATGGTGAACATCTTTTCATGTGCTTACCAACTGTGTATTTTTTGTCTTTTGATAAAATACCTGTTCATGAATTTTCTAATTGGATTTCTTGGGCTTTTTACTGTCAGGTTCTGAGTTCTTTACATGCTCTTTATATGTTCTAGATATAAGTTCTTTGTCGGACATGTGGTTTGCAAATATTTTCTCCCAGTTTGTAGCTCTTCTTTTCAACCTCTTAAGAAGGTTTTTCACAGAGCAAATAGTTTTTATTTTGATGAGTTTCAATGTACCTATTTTTGCTTTACAGATTGTGCTTTTGATTTATCACAACTCTGCCTAGTCATAGAACAAGACTTTCTCCTACGCTCTTTTCTAAAAGTATTGTAGTTACATATTTTAAAAGTCAGTCCAGTGTGTTTTTTAAAAAAAATTGGCTGGGCATGGTGGCTCACGCCTGTAATCCCAGCACTTTGGGAGGCTGAATCAGGCAGATCATCACTTGAGGTCAGGAGTTCAAGACTAGCCTGGCCAATATGGTAAAACCCCGTCTCTACTAAAAATGCAAAAATCAGAGCCAGGCATGGCAGCACACACCTGTAATCCCAGCTACTCAGGAGGCTGAGGCAGGAAAAACACTTGAACCCAGGAGGTGGAGGCTGCAGTGACCAAGATTACACCACTGCACTCCAGCCTGGGTGTCAGAGTAAAACTCTGTCTCAAAAAAATAAAATAAAAATAAAAATAAACTATACCCAGGTTTTCATGTTCCCCGATGCACTGGTTCCATCTGTTTATTGACTGACTTTTTTTTTCAAGACACAGTCTCACTTTGTCACGCTGGCTAGAGTGCAATGGTGCAATCTCGGCTCACTTGCAACCTCCACCTCCCGGGTTCAAGAGATTCCTGTTCCTCAGCCACCCAAATAGTTGGGATTGCAGGCATGCGCCACCACACCCAGGTAATTTTTGTATTTTTTAGTAGAGACAGAGTATCACCATGTTGGTCAGGCTGGTCTCAAACGCCTGACCTAAATGATCTGCCTGGCTCAGTCTCCCAAAGTGTTGGGATTACATGCGTGAGCCAATGTGCCCAGCCAGTTCCCTATTTATAATATCTGACAATCTAGAATCCCACAAATAAGCCCAAAGTATATTTCTAGAATTTCTAAATTTCCTGAAAAAATCTAAGTCCTAAGAGTCACACATATCTTGAGGAACTTTCAACCCTTTCAAGGTTTAGACAGGTCAACACTAATTATATACTTAACTTTTTAATCCTAGCACTTAACTCACTGCTTATCCAATACTGAATACATTAATGTAAATGAGATTTAGTGTTCTCTCGTTACTATATTGCCTAAATGCTTTTACGATACTATTTTGTAATCTTTAAAACTATACTACAAAATAAATGACGCAATAAAATTCTATGAGATTTTTTTAATTACACCCCCCATAAAATCCTAGAACCTACTGAAATATCTATAACAAAATTACAATGCAACAAAATCTTAACTCTAAGCAAGATTAAAATAGCCACAGATACAAACTAACACAATATCTTAACACAACTACAGGAAAATCTTCTTAGCCCTTATGTCAACATAGGTCATAATACAAGTGAAAGAACCCTAACCTAGCCACATAGTAACCAGAAGGTTAACAGTTTTAAATCATTACTTTCGGAAAAGGAAATACACAATCCTAGCTTATTTTTTTATCCAACTTTGGTGAAAAATGTACATTCCTATGACAGCAGACATTTTTGTTCACTAACATACCCTTTGTCAAGCATAAAGAAAACACTCAGTGGTTAATTAATTAATGTTGTAAGATTTCTAATCCCACTAACCACCTCCCCTAGCAAAAGACCTGAAAAATGTGGGGGGTAATACAATCTCATCTAAAAGATTTATAAAATATCAAAGTCAAAGTTCAAAAGGCACACAGGTAATAAAAATGCCAAGCTTGGCAATACCAATTGATTTCCTTAAAATTCTTGGTTTCTCAACTACTAGTAACTTAATTTCCACTACAAATTATCCTTTTCAATAGTAAAACAAGAAATTTAAGCTCAAACAAGAGTTTTAATTTCATCAAAAATTGTTTATAAATTTATATTTTTCCTAAAACCCAAATAAAGACTTAATTTAGCATATTAGTACTTCTGAGACATAATTTAGTTAAAATTCATCCGTTTAGCTCACGTAGGCCAGGTTGTAGAAAAAAATAATTTTAAAAATTACTACTTGCAAACTTAAGAATATTCATCGTAGCACTGTTTATAAGGGTGAAAAAAACAAATGGGGGAAGATCCAAGATGGCCGTTTAGAAGCAGCTCAGGATTGCAGCTCCCAGTGAAAGCGCAGAGGGTGAGTGGATGCCGCATTTCCAGACGGATCTTTATTGCCCACAGACCAGGAGATTAGCAGGTGGAGGAGCCCCACAGGTCGCCAGCACAGATGTTTTGCCAGCACCCTGGCACGGTGGTTCTCCGTACAAAATACACTGGGTCTGCTTGACCTTTTAAGCTGGCGATTGGAACTCTGGGAAGGCAGAGTCACCCATTCATCTGATTAACAGGGAACTGAAACAGGGAGCCAAGCCAGGAGATTCCCAGGCAAAAAATCGCCTGAATCTCAGCGCTGCTGTTTTAGCCGGTGCAGTGGGTCGCCGCACGGGAAATCACACAGATCCCGGCAACTTTTTAGCAGGCGACTGGAACACCTGGAAGACAGTCAATCGTTCAACTTAAAAAAAAAAGGGTCTGAGGCAGGGAGCTAGGTGATCAGGCTCAGCAGGTCCCACTTCCACAAAAAAAAAAAAAAAAAAAGCAATTGGAAACGCTCTGGGTTGAGAGTTTCATAGCAAGCACAGCTGAACCAGGGACGGTCCAGCTCTGTAGAGGAGGGGCATCCACTATTACCGAGGCAGTAGTCCGCCACGGCTGGGGCAGTCGCTGCAAAGGCAACCTGCCATTACAGAGAGAGTCCACCATTACACAGTTGGGCCACCATTGCTGAGGCAGTTCTAACCAAACCCATATAAACAGGACTGCAGGGAAGTTCACAGGGCAGCAGGGCGGAGCCCACAGCAGCTCAGCAAAGCCTCTGCAGGCAGACAGTGACTAGGCTGCCTGCTTGCTGGGCAGGGCAGCCCTGAAAAAAAGGCAGCAGCACAATGGAAAATCATAAATAAAGCCCTAACTCCCCAGGACAGAGCACCTGGGAAAAAAAGGGGTTTATGAGTTCTGCTGCAGCAGATTTAAATTTACCTGCCCAGCAGCTCTGAATGAACAATGGAGCTTACAGTTCAGCACTTGAGCTCCTATAAAGGACAGACTGTCTCCTCAAGCAGCTCCCTGATCCCCATATATCCAAAGAGTCACCAAACAAAGGAGAGATCACACTGACTTTTGGCGGGCATCATTCTGGGACAAAGATAGCAGAAGAAGACACTGGTAGCAACCCTTACTCTTCTGCAGCTGTTGCAGGTGATCCCCAGGCAAGCAGGGCCTGGAGTGGACCTCAGCAGTCCTACAGCAGAGGGGCCAGATTATTAGAAGGAAAACTAAGAAACAGAAATAACTTCATCATCAACAAACTGGACGTCCACTCAGAGACCCAATCTGAAAAATCAGCAACTACAGAGATGACAGGTGGATAAATCCACAAAGATGGAAAGACACCAGCACGAAAAGGAGGAAAACGCCCAAAACCAGAACACTTCTCCTCCTACAAGGGATCACAATTCCTCACTAGCAAGGGAACAAGGCTGGATAGAGATTGAGTGTGATGAAATGACAGAATCAGACATCAGAAGGTGGGTAATAAGAAACTTCTGTGAGCTAAAAGAACATGTTCTAACCCAAT